GGGGAGGCGGCGGCGGAGTGGCGGCGGCTGCCCTCAGAGCCCCGGACCCAGCGGGGCTGCCTCACGAACCCTGCTCGTTACATCTCTTGTTCAGGTACCTGTAAGCCCACCTGTAAGGCTTCTCAGCGCCAGCTCTAGCAGCTCAGCGGAGTAACACAAACGAGATTTTGCTCGTCTTTCCCATTTTTCCGCCCCTTGCCTCAGAGTGTTGCGGTGTTGCATCAGCTAGTTTTAGGTTTAAGTATGCTTTGCCTGCATATAGCGTTTGTGTCCTTTCTAATTAATTGCAGGTATTGTGCCTGATCCATACGGAACAGTTATTTTAAAAAAATAATAAATAAACATGTTCAGAACACAGTTCATGTCTTGAGGGAACGGAGGATGCTTTAAAACCCCAGGTTTGGTTTTAAACCTCACTTGGCTTTACTGGTACATGTACCATCCACGGGTGTCAGTCCACAATCCTTTGCTGCTTTGTCAAAACATTGTATTCAAATTGTATTAGATTTTGTAATTAGGCTGCAAAGAACCTAAATAACCACAAGGGACCATATTATATGCCCGGCTCATTACATGCCTGGCTCATTTAACACTAAGGTAAGCAACTTCTGGAGGCACTCAAAATATATTGCTGTATCTTCAGCTCTTTAATGCCAAAGTTACCAGACTTCTGGATGTCCATCCAGCTGGTTTCTTCAGCCAGGGCGGGTCTGCTGCCTTCTTGGAGGGAGGCAAATGGAAAACTTTAACTTCACATGAAAAGCAGAGTTTTTTCCCCAGTTCCACTGCTGCAGATGGATTATATAGTATAAAGGCAAAGATCTCATGATAAACAGAGGTGTCTTATCCAGACTATGTTTCAGTATTATGGGTATTTACATAAAGTATGTGTACTGTAGAGAGGGAGCAGAAAGTGAGTGCAGAAATGCAGAAAATAAGTCATAAAGGCCTGGATATATGATGTTATATTTCTCACCCTGCCAGTGAAATACTGGAGATAGATGAGCGTTAGCTACTATTTCCAGTTCAATGTGTTTTTGCCATGCCCCTAATAGAGCCTGCTTCTGAGAGGAGAGATTTTGTACAGTTCTGTCTCTCTTTCTTCCAGTGCATACTCCTCATACAGAGTCACCAAGCCTTTGATGGTGCTCAGAACTGTGCTTATCTTCCCAGGCACTTTATTGAAAAAGTGGTATCTTCTGCTACTCTTCAGGGGCACTGTGGCTGTGAGTAGTAGTTTTCAATCCCAGAGATCTGTAATAACAGAGTTCACAGAACTGTTCAAAGATGCTGTTAAAATCTTGGTAATCGGATTGCTTTTTCAATAAAAATGCATCGCTTCCATGCACAAAGGCAGGGCATGCAATGGGACTACCAAACACCTGAAAAAACACACCTAAAAAATAGGGGAAAAACAAACTTTACAGAGGCCCAACCTTTGATACCTCAATTTGACATATTTCTGATTGTTTGTATTATATATTATATTTGATTTTACATTCACACAGCTGCATTGCACCTGACTACAAAGACAAAGCAAAGAAGGAACACTAGTGCCTGGCAAGAAAGGAGACTTTCTCTCTTTCCTCCCACAGAGCCCATGCCAGCCACACTGTACAGCCATTGCAAACTTGACTGCATTTGGATTATTCTTGGGGTGTTTTGATGTGACTCAAAACACAGCAGGTGTTTTCAGACACTAAAAGGCAACGAACAGGGATTTTCTTATGTAGCCTTTTGGCATTTGATGTGTAGGAGTATCAACTGTATAGAGAGGTGCAAGGACATGATTTAAGTAGACATGATATAATACTATTATGAAAATAAAAGTCATTACTTGTGTATCAAGGTAGAGATCAGGGTGTACCAGACTGTAAACCCTTCTGTGGGCAACACCTGTGGCTTATGCTTTTCCAAGCCTTTAAACTGCATTGAACAAATTGGAATGAAAATATAATTGGAGGGACTATTCTGCAAGGACAGGAAATGAACTAAATAACCTAATAGTTTTCTCCATAGTTCTTTGTTGGAACTTTTATTTTGTGAAAAAGTGAAATTGAAGCCATTGGCTAAACTGACACTTTAATTAATCAGACTGTCTATTTAGCTCTGTTCAGGAGGTGGTGTAGAGTAACTTTCATTAGTCCCTGACACTCCAGCAGAGCTTGAGAACCTGCTGAAATACATATTTCTCACAATCTTCTGAAAAATGCAGAAGCTTCCCTTTATTTTCTCAAGTTTTTTGCTGATAGGTTGATTTCCTCCTAATGTGATTTGTTTTATGAGTGACTAACCTAATAAAGCTGGTTTAAACACCAACTGACAGGGCTAGGAGGAAATTGTTCAAGATGTTACACAGAAAATTTGGCAATGTTCAGCCCTAAAAGCTGGAAGAAAGTTTATGTAGAAATAAGCAGAAAAATGCCAACCATCTAGAAGAGAATTTCTACAAGGCCTTTTAGGGACTGCAGAGCTGAGAGACAAATCTTTTTGTGGAGATTGGCAGGAAACACTTTGCAGCCATCATCCCATATAAATATTGGGTGTACATTTAATACCTATATTCTTATGTGTTAGAGCAGTAGAATATTATTCATTATGAACTTTTTATTAAGGGAATAGTGTGATTTCTCTGCCCAGTGCAAAGGTAGGTATTGATAGCTAAGGCAGGAGCAAGATTTAAAGGTTGATAATTGTTTGATACCATAAATTGCAACTTTGCACAGTTTATGTTTTACCAGTTAAGTACTATATTTTTATATTAAGTACTTTATTTTGACCTATGCTGGTCAAAATTTGTAGCAGACTTGAAGATTGTCCCAGAGAGGCAGGGACAAGCTACTTCTCTTTTGCCTCATGTTTCTGAAAAAAAAGTGACCCTTCTGATCCTGCTAGCCTAACTAGGGGCTGACCCTACAATTGTTTGTGTGCTGGCAGGTGGAGGAATCCATAGAGCATTCTCTGTGGAAACACAATGCTCACTCTAAAAAGGAGCCCTGGAATATATTCACCACCTGCTAAAATTCAAAATTCTATCTACAGTCTAAAATATGAATATAAGACAAAATGAGGAGGTTAAATTATCATTATTTATTGAAATAAAACAAAAATGAGTAAGATCTTGTCATTTAGGAATAAAATAAGAGCTTACAGTAATCTTAGAATCATAGTCATAGAATGATAGAATGGTTTAGGGTGAAGGAACCTTAAAGATCATCTCATTCCAAGCCCATTGCCATGAGCAGAGATGCCATTCACTAAGGCCCCATCCAACCTGACCTTGAACACTTTCAGGGATGGGGCATCCACAGCTTCTCTGGGCAACCTGTTCCCACGCCCGACCACCCTCTGAGAAAAGAACTTCTTCCTAATATCTCATCTAAATCTCTCCTCTTTTAGTTTAAAACCACTCCCCCTTGTCTTGTCACAATCTGCCTGTGTAAAAAGTCGCTCTCCCATCTTGGGAAGTTGTAGGAGACCGAGTACAAACAGAGGATCTTTCTGACCATCACCATTTCCCTCCTTGTGTAGCTTTGTAACATCATATGCATTATTATATTGATAAACACTTATAAATTATTTCAAGACAGTTTTTGGCCTAGGACTCTACTGGCTTTGGTGGGGACAGAGTTAAAGTTCTTCACAGTAGCTGGCATGGGGCTGTGTTTGAGATTTGTGCTGAAAACAGTGTTGATAACACAGGGATGTTTTAGTTGTTGCTGAGCAGTGCTTACACAGCGTCAAGGCCTTTTCTGCTGCTCATCTTGCTCGTGTAAATCATTCCATGTTTTTAACATTCAGGAAGCAGACAGGCACATTGTGTGGTTTAAACAAAGATGGGGATCATGGCAGACAATCGCTGAAGTAAACTCCCTCTGGAGCACTATGCCTGAAAGGGATCATATGTTTTTTGGCATTATAAATATGGGGTTATCAATTACCAGATGTGAAGTCACAGGTTTTCTGTCTTTCAGGGTAAATGCTTTTACAATATTGTATCCAGCTACAGTGAGCTCAGTCTGACATAAATTGCATGGAGCTCAAAAAAGGCTGTGAGAGTTATTAAAGGTGTGGAAAAATGCTTGTTAGTAAGAGACTCCAAAGATCAATTTATTCTCTTTATTAACTGGAAGTTTGTGAGTTTAACATAAACACAGTCTCTAAGTAACTTGATTTATAAAAGAGCATTTTCAGCACACAACAAAATTATACAGCCATCAATGTATATCAATGTATGGCAATTTTGATAAGGAAAGTAGGCAGAATCAGAGTACTATACAAAATTTTAGCAGGGAAAATAATTAAAAAGTGGAACAACTTTCTAAAGGTTATTTTTTTAAAAGGTGGGATCTGTTTCATAGAATAATTAAGTTCAGTCTTAGGTTAGACAAGCTCTTAGCTCTTCTTTAGACTTAGAAGAACCAAAAGTAGGTGTTTACTGTAATTCCTCCCACGTTTATAATATATGGATGCACAAGATTTCTTCAAATGACTCCTGAAATTCTTCACACTAAACATGATGGAAATCTTTGCCCTTTGTTCTCCAGTATTTGTGTTCTACTTGGAAAAGAGTAAAGATCAGTACATCCTTTGAGTTATAAAAAATGATTGTGTTAATAAATTGGATAAAGTAAGAGGCCTGAACTGTTCTAGTGAACTGCATTAAAATGTATCAGGGGGAATGTATGAAAGAAGATAGATATTCCAAAGAGGGTAGGGCATGTCAGAGAAAAGCACTTATATACAGTTTACATTTATTAGGCCAACTTAGCAGTTTTCTATTATATCTCTCTCTCAAAAAAAGAAGTAGGTGGTCTGAAATTATCTTTGGGAATTTCCACTGTAAAGAGGGTCTCCCACATCAGTGTAGAGCTGAGACTGACATCAGGTGGTACTTGAACATCCTTCATCTAAGCACTGGGGTAGCATATCATGCCAAGGATATTGTACCTTTGCCTTTCCTTTGAAGCATTGAAGAAAGATAAAGGCCTCAAAGGTTAGAACGAGCTGGGTTAGGACCTTGGAGACATCCACCACTTTGTGGTGTAAAACGGATGAGATGACCTTTAGCAACCCCATCTTGCTGATCAGCGG